GTATATTAGAGAATTATTATATTGCATGGAGTGTATGTTTCTATAATTTTTGATCGAGATCCTCGATTCACCTCGAGATTCTAGAAATCCTTGCATGGAGCGTTGGGGACTCGCTTAAACTTTAGTACTGCCTTTCACCCTCAGACAAACGGACAATCAGAAAGAACAATTCAAATATTGGAAGCTATGTTGCGAGCATGTGTCATTGAGTTTAAAGGGTCATGGGAGAAATACTTACCACTGGAGGAGTTCGCTTACAACAATAGTTATCAGTCCAGTATTAAAATGGCACACTATGAGGTGTTATATGGGAGGAAATGTTGTACGCCATTAAACTGGTATGAGCTCAAAGATCGAAATGTACTCGGTCCAGATTTGATTCAAGATATGGAAGAGAAAGTTCAGGAAATTCAACATAACCTAAAAGTGGCATTTGATCGGCAAAAGTCCTATTCTGACCTTAAAAGAAAGGAGATTGAATTTGAAGTTGGGGATAAAGTGTTTCTGAAGGTATCACCATGGAAAAAAGTATTACGATTTGGTCGGAAATGAAAGCTAAGTCCTAGATTCATCGGGCCATATGAAGTTGTTAAAAGAATAGGACCAGTGGCATATCTGTTATCTTTGCCACCAGAAATGGAGAAAATCCATAATGTTTTCTATGCGTCCATGTTATGAAGATATAGGTCTGATCCCTCTCACATTGTTGCACCAGAACAAGTAAAAGTTCAACCTGATTTGACATAAGAAGAGGAACCAATACAAATATTGGCTCACGAAGTTAAGCAATTGAGAAATAAAACGGTTCCGTTGGTCAAAGTTCTTTGGAGAAATCACAAGGTAGAAGAAGCCACGTGGGAACGCGAAGAAGATATGCGACTTCAATATCCTCATCTGTTCGTACAATGAAAATTCGAGGATAAATTTTTCTTAAGTGAGGGAGATTTGTAACATCCTCCATACTGGGTTAGTGATCAAATTGTGAGATTTAAAAATTCAGTGACCAAATTGGATAAATTAAAAAGTTCAAAGAATTGATTGAAATGTTTTGTGTATAAGCAATTAGCAAAGAAGGAGGAACTAAAGGGATAAATAAGTCTTTTAATAAGGGAAGCAATTAAATATTACTTTTGAAGGGATATTTTAATACCCACGTGGAAGACAATTGGGGAAAACCAAAGTTCCAGATTTCTCTTCTTCTTCATTCTTCTTCTCCACCGTGAAGCCAAGCTAAAGGTGAGTTTTATTTTTGATCAAATTCTTGATGAATTTAAGGTTGCTTATTGATCATTAGATGATAACTAAGCATAAGGAAAGCTTAGGTTATCTTAAAATCAAAAGAGGATGGAGTTAGGAAGGATTAAAGAAAGGAAGTAGAGAAGTGAAATCTTGGAATAGAGTTCATAATAAGAATTGGAAGTTGGATTTGACTTGTCATCAAGCTAATTAAGGAAAATGAAGTGTTAGAATTAGATTAATAACATGTTAGAATTTGAGTGAGATTCTTAAATTCTATATGGAGAATTGGATTTCTAAGTTTTAGAGGTATGGAATGGATAATAATTAGTTTAAGTAAGAGTATGCAAGTTAGGGATATAAAAGGAGGTGAATTATGTAGTGTTAAGGGAATTATGAAGGGATTTCGTGCTAAAAATGACATTTCTGGGCAATGTGCATCGATGCACATTCAATGTGTACCGATGCATCAAGGATAAATCCTAGAAATTGTTCAAGGTGTATCAATGCACTACTTTAAAATAAAAACATCGAATGTCATCAGTGAATCGATGCACAAGTAGTGCATCGATGCACCCCCTTAAATACAAACATCGAATGGGATTTATGTATCGATGCATAGATAGTGCATCGATGCACCCGTCAAGGGATGCATCGATACATGGTGTAGTGCATCGATGCATAACTTCATTAAAAGATGAAAATGGCTTTTCTTTTAGCCTAAGGAATGATAGTTTAGAATATATTAATTAGGATACTGATAAGTTTCAATGAATTACTATATAGATACAGAGCCTACACAAGTTCCAGAGCGATTACCCAATAAGATCGATCGAGGAAAAAACAAAGAAATATAGGTGAGTGCATATGCATAACATGATTATAGCGATATATTCAGTTCTAGACTTGTGAGAAGTCTAGATTCAATATATTGATGCATGATTCATTTCATATTGTGAAGCATGATATGAATTCATACTATGTGCATTGTGTAACATGTTTTAAATGAATATGTATGCAAAGTTATATGAGTCATGTGATGAAGGTAAGGAAATGATATGTCTATGTGATATACTATGTAATTTGGGAAAAGCCCATGTTATGTATATAAGAACTATAGGTATAGTTGGCATTCCAAGAGTAGAGGATCTACGCGGTCCTTCGAGACATATATGTATTCTTTGGAATATGTGTGAGGTCTTTTGAGACACATACTTGATCATTGGCATATGTATATGATTCTTAAGGAATTTTCTACGTGGTCCTTAGGGACAATTTTATATGGCACTACGGTGCAATTCTACGCGGCACTTTGGTGCAATTCTACGTGGCACTTCAATGCATTTATAAGAGCTGTGGTGACATCGTAGTGCACAACCTCACAGTACTCACATACCTTAGGTTCTCAGTATGGTATCATGGGCTAATAAACTTATTAATACGAATTCATGAATGTTAATGTACTATGCTTATAGATAAGGAACATGGTGATATAACTGCATGGTTAAGTATTTGATTTCATCTCATTCCATTTTATTATGGCATTTTCATTACATTTCTTTGTTGTTATTATTATTATATTGCCTCACTAAGTCGATGACTTAGCGTGTGAGTGTTTCACACGTAGGATCCGAGAAACTAGACGAGACCGGTTAAGCAGTTGGACAACACTACTCCTGCAACTATCAGATCAGAGGCAACTTAATCAGTAGGTCCTTTTGTTATGTAAATGAATGTTGGCATGTAATCAAGGGTCAAGTTGTGTATGCTCTGAGTATTTTGATAAACTTGTATTAACATATGTATATTATTGTATTTTAATAATATAAGTTCAAACGTTTTATCTTTTTTTAAGAGTATTGTTTTGTATAGTCAATGTGACATCTTGGACTCGTATCCAGGTCGGGTATGGGTTGAGGGTGTTACAGAAACAATTCGGGCCATTTGCTATTACACCGGTGACCAATTCTTAAGCACGACATCTAAAAAATATGGTTCTCACAACTTGATTTCTTGTTGAATAGAACCTCATTCTTGAAAATCCAAATACTCCAAACAATCCCATAGATAACTTCCACGCGGGCTTAAATGGTCGCTTGATCGGATGTTCGTTCCAAGCCACTAGCAAACCCTTCACATTTCCAGGGCATGTAAAATTTTCCTTCCACATTGAGCACCACTTCTGCCATAGTCTCCAAGAAAAATTGCATTAGCATAACAACTGGTCTGTGAATCCTTCTCTTCATGGCATAACACACAAAGGCATGATTCTAAATTTGAAACATCTCTGTTGGATAAATTTAGTAGTGTCGACCCTCTATTTAGAACCGCTTTCCAAATAAATGCCTCCACCTTGGGTGGAACCAAATTTACCCATAACAACTTCCATACATCTTCTTTAATTTTTCCTTCTCATGCAATGTTTTCACAGTAGATTTTTTACTTATAAGAACTATGAGGTGAACCTTTCCATGTCAATAGATCATCCTCACACACTCCCTTTACTACATTATTGAGGGTTGCCAAAAATGCATCCCAAATATTTAGTTCCCAGTCAAAAAGCGCTCTCCTAGTCTGTATATCCCAGTGCCATACACCATTTATTTTCCTGCCGAATTTCACAAACTTTTCCTGATTTTTGAATAGTGACAGCAAATATGCAAGAGAAAACTAATTTCAAAGATGGAATGTCTGTCCAATAGTCCTCCTAAAACTCCACATTCTTTCCATCTCCCACAACACACCTTAAATTTTTCGATAAACTATCATCCACTGAATTTAGAGGTAAAGTGATGTTTTTCCACACGATTTTCTATTATGCTGTCCAAGCCCCAGAAGAAGGGACAAAGGGTTGTAATCGTATTTGACATCAATAAATTTTCTCCATAAGTAGTTCGTTTCAGTTTTATACCTCCAAATCCACTTCTTCTTTAATAAGGATCGATTTCTTACTTTCATGTCAAATAAACCAAGACCACATCATGATCTCGGGCTGCAAACTGACTCTCATCTCACCTAGTAAATCGATCTCCCAAAACTTGAGCCCCACAGAAAATTTGCAATCAATTTATTCAAGTCTAAGGCCATTGATGTGGGAAGCTAAAAAAGAGAAAAAATACATTGGCATGTTAGAAAAAATAGATTTTTATAAGGGTGATACGCCCTCCTAATGAGAGTAATTTCCCTTTCTATCCCTCAAGCCTCGAACTAACTTTCTCTACCATTGGCTTTTACATCTCCGAAGAGTTCCTTGTTTGTCCTAGCGATAGCCTCAAATAGGTAGTCAAAAAACAATCCCAATCACACTTGACTTAATCAGCCCACTCCCTCAAGGTACCCTCATCCATGCACAACCCATACAACTTGGATTTTGTCATGTTGAGTTTTAGACCTGATGCAACTTCAAATATTCTTAAGATTATCTTTATGTTTTTTAATGAGTCGAGGATGACATCCGAAAAAACTATCAGGTCATCCGTAAACTATAAGTGTGATATCCAAAGGTATGAAGAGCTCACTGGAACACCACTAAACGCACCATTGGCTATTGATTTTGTGAAGGCATTTGTAGTCCAACGGTTAGGATAATTACCTTTCAACAAGAGTTTTATGAAAAATGAGGGGAAGGGGAAAGGTCACAACACTGGAGAGAAACAGAAAGACCCTCGGCAAGAGGTTGGGGAAAGGTTGCTGCAACGGTGAGATGAAGGGGAACCGTGGATGATGCAAGACGCAGAGAGGAGTTTATTGTGTTTATCAATAACATGAGCAAGAGGACTCATCAAGCAACTCTTAGAGACGTGTTCTCAGAATATGGAGAGGTAGTAGATTCTTTCATTGTATATAGGAACCAGAAGAGGGTAGGCAAAAACAAAACATTTGCTTTTGTCCGATTCAAAAGATGGTTGGACACCGTCCGAGCTGTTGAAAGAGGTGATAAAAGGAAGTTAGACGGCTTTATGATTAGAGTTTTCATGGAGAAGAATGTCGAGCGTCATCACAATAATCCAAGAGATAAGAAACAGAATGGTACAACTAGGGGGGCAAACGTCTCGTATGTATGGAGAAAACGAGAAAGCTTAAAGGATACCAGATCCTTTAAGGAAGCACACGCCTAGGGGTAAATATGATTGTTACTCTTGTTTTTCTCGTCTTTAATCTTGGATAAAATACATTACATATTATTTAAATATTCATAAAATTAGAAAATAATTACTGAAATTTAAAAATTATAAAAAAAATTAATTAATTGTTATGAATAGATCACATCACCGTTTAAAATGAAATTGATATTGATTTCCTAATTACAATCAAGTTAATAACTTTATCGATTATTACAATCATATCAATTAAAAAATTAACATTCTTTTGTTAAAAAATTAACATTCAAAACATATTGAATAATCTATTTGTTATAATCAAATGATTGAATCACTCATTTATAACAATAAGTTTCAGTTAGGAACACAAAGTTAACAATTAGAAACTATGTTAGGCACGAGATTTGGTGATTGATTGCATGACAGATTAAGATGCATGGAGGCCAGAAATCAAGAAGCTAATATTGTTGTACTTTAGCCCTATTGAATAACGATTAAATTAATATAAAGTTTTAAAAAATAAAAAAAAAATAGATAAACTAAATTCATAATTTACGCATAATATATAAATTAAATCTATAATTTATATACAATATAAAGACACGTTACCAATTCTTGGATCGATTTGTTCAGATACTTCCTTTATCCGTGTGTAACCCCATCCATTACAGAATACATAGAACACATCGATACGAGCATATCACCCTTAATTTTTTCCCATTACATAAGAATCAACTGTCAAGGGTGTCCTTCCTCAAAAAAAAAAACTGTCAAGGGTGTCTTCAAGACGTTTAAGTCCCCAAATAACAATAAATAAGAGCCATGATCTATTCAGAGAAGATAGACAGCTAACAAAGGCAAGTTAAGCTGACCTTTTTCTATCATACGGTTCAAACATTCGACCAACTGAAGGGTAATTAACTGTTTTCATTCAGAGTCTTGCAGTATGGATTTGTTGCTTCAAAAGTGGTCGAATATACTCATGGTAACCATCCGGCACATATGTATCGTTCAATGGACTCTTCCATGCTTCGTCATAGAGTTTTTGGTACACATTTCCATCAAACCGACCCAGAACCGAGCCAAGGTAGTGGTCAGTGTGATTGAATGCATCGACAAGGGAAACCGCATTCGGACGGACCTAAGGTTGAAATGAGATCAAAACTAGTGAGACAGCAGCAGCAAACTTTTGCGCTGTGATCACCTAATAGACAAAATCAAATACATGAAACGAACCAGGGAGTAGAGTAATCTGAGCTGTTCGTTTGCTAGTGCACCTTGCTCCGGGGAGATGCAGCCAGTGGAGAGGAAATCACCGAGATGTTTGTGTAAAAGAGACAAGGCATATACATTGCAGAGGTTCTCCAACTGTGTTTTCACTCCTTTTCCTGGTATTTCTTGTTGCAGTTTCTCTATGAACCTGAAAACAAATGACGCAGACATGAAAATTATAGTTTGGTTCCTTCAGTCTATAAAAAACCTCATCGATTACTATTTTTGTGCCCCCGACTTTATGCAGGGATAAGAGGGGAGAAGCTTACTTGGAAACGATAATTAACTGACAGTGAGCAACAGCAGCCTCAACCAAATCAGATGAGATATCAGCAAAACCTGAAAATATATTTTTTTAAAATGTTAAAGCTCATTAAAATTATGGAGTTGAACAACTTCAATGCAGAGAGGCCGATTCACACTATATATCATAACCAATTAATGTTTACCGAGAAAATAACAAGTTTTGGTAAGAATTGGAAGCATGAGTAGAGGTGTAGTCGAGATGAGCTGAACTTGAGCTCGACTTGAAATTTGAGACTCCAAGTTTGGGTCAAGCATGATTGAGTTCAACTTTCAAAAGCTTGAGCTCGATTAGATTTAACAGATTGAATTGCTTGAGCTCGATTGAGTTTAAGTTCAAGCTCAATTCAAGTTAAAGATTGAAATGCTTGAGGTTGCTTGATTAGACTCAAGTATCTAGTAAAAAATGAGCTCAATTCCCATGCTCAACTTCAAGCTTGATGATTTGTACTCAAGTTCGAGTTCACATTGAAATTTTTCAACGATTTAAAAATAAATAAATAAATAAATATATATATATACCATGCTCACGAGCTACTCAGTAAAGCATGAGGATAGTCGAAGTCGGCGTACTCAATAGTTCAAGCTATTTGAGTAATAGCTCAACTCGACAATGAATGAGCCAAATTCGAGTTTTTTCTAGTCAACTCAAATAGTTTGTGAGGAAAGGTGTCTTGTTTACACCCCAAACATGATCATCTACTAGTAACCATGCAAGAGTTGACTTGGTTGAGTAACATGACAATAAAAATAACATGCAAAAGAGTGTTTATTCATCCATCAACGTCTAGAGAAGATACCATCTTCTGGATTTGAAAATCCGCTAAGGGTTTGAGCACAGGAAACAGACATCCGAGCAGCTCTCACTTCAAATGCCTCCAATATAACACTAGGTTTCAGCCAATCCTCAGCTGCAAGTCAACCGAATAATGAAATAATTATATTGTTATTTACTAAATATTTACTTTTCAAGGAGTATGGAACAATATCCATAGAGTTAGCAATTATTTGTAGATAAGAATTAAAATAAGCTCGAAATTATTTAGAAATCAATAAGAGCCAGCAAACTTACTCATAGGCACTGAGCATATCATAACTGACAATTGTAAAAATGACAATATTCCATCGAACAAAGAAAACTCAAGAAGCAGATACAAATTGTAGACAAGCTCAAGAGAAAAAAAAATGGAAAAGATACCCCTTCGAACTTCACAATGGCATTGCATTAGGTGCTCTACTCGTCCGAGGTATGCCGTTGTCCCAACAGGCTTCTTTCCAGACGCTAGCTGGGCAACAGTCTTCATTAGAATCCTTGCAACCTACAAAAAACATTTCCACTTGCATCGTCAATAGATGGCACCTCATCAGCAGCAGCAGCACAACATCTAAGGATTCTAGATTGGATCTCTATTTTCAAATGTGATACTTATTTCGTTTTCTTCACTATAGATTCATCAAATCAACATAATATACCAAGAAGCACCAGAAAAACAGCTGACAGGATATTGAGGTCAACGATTCTGAACAAATTGAAGAAGATGAAAGGTGCCAAAAATAAAACTTGCAGTATTTCACATTTTTCATACCTGCAAAAGCAGCACAATATTGTCTCCTTCAAAAGTACAGTTAGGGATATAAACTGCAAATAACTCAGGAAGCCCACTGCAAGAAAGATAACCATGACCACCGCACAACTTCCGGCATTCTTCAATGGCATCCTGCAAACATATTTATTTTAGCCAAGTTAAAAGCACAATTGAAAAAAAACATTATTGACTGTTATTTCGTAATGAATGTCGACTTTTAAAAGTAAAGAGAGATCTTTTATTCCATCGAAGTGGTGATATAGTAAGAACTATGCAAAATAATTGGCCAACCAAAATATATTAAACTACAGCAATGTTTGACAGTGGAGAAAACTAGTCAATATATTTATGAGAAGGAAGAGTATTGAAAGTTAGTAACAGTGGCATACCGCAGTTGCAGAAGTGGTAATAGATTTTAACCCTGCAGTACATGCATGAACCTCAGGTAATGTTGAGAAATCATTGGCTTTCAATCTCTTGGTCACATCAGTGTATAGCCATTTCAGCCATTCACCAGCAAATCTGAAAGCATAGGCAGAAGCAAGCAAAGGAAAGAGTCTACTTTGCTGAGTTTTATAGTTAATCACCTGAAACAAAATCAATAAAGGTAAAAGCAACAGATGAATCAGCCTCGAGGACATGTAAAATAAGTCTCAAACTTCAGCAGCAGCAACCAAATAAATACCCTTGAACAGAATTATTGAAAATTTCTACCCAAAAAAAGCCATTAAAAGTGATCATAAAAGGTAGCAATGTACAACAATCAGTATGTGAAATACTATATGTGTATACGATACAAAAGAAAATAGTACCTGGGTCTCTGGACCACCATTCTGTGATCCAAATTGTCTGCGAACAGCACTATACCTTGTTGCAATGCAAACTGCCCTTGATAAAGCACAAGAAGATTCAGACACAATTATTTGTCGGACAGAGACCATAGTACCATAAAGCAGCTGGCGTGGAACATCAGATTGCACATATTTGCCTTCTCTTGTAACCTGCGAAACACTGAGACATTTGGAGAGGAAACAAAATAAGCAAACATCAAAATAGTCAACTTGTTTATCCATTAAGCTCACACTATAGGAGCAATTTTAGCCTATGTCACTTTTTTAGCTTCCTTTTTGGTGGCTTTCTTCAATTGAGAAAAAATATTTTTTTTTTATAAGTTTTAGGTTTCTGAGCACTCCGAAACCTCTCTTATGTTTACTTAAGTCGCAGAAACTTAGCAGCCTTGCAACTTCAATCAAGAAAAAAGCTGCTCGTTAAAGGAAAATCCTAGAAAGATCTTTTTTCAAAAGATAATTCCCACCATGGCTACACTATATTCCTCCACAAGGAGCCAATCAGATAAAACAGTGACAGATGAAATGTTAGCCTTCCGGAAAATAAAAGACAAAAACTTGGAGGGGCACGGTTATTGAACAAACCGCATTAGCATTTGGTTCCTCAGAATGCGCACATGATCAAATCTCAGAAAACCATTGTCCATGCTGTTATATGCCCCACTTCCAAATTTCATTCCAATATCACCAACTGTAATGCCTGGGAGAGGCGAGTGGTCATCCAGACTACGTAGCTGGATGATAAAAGCTAATAAAAGAAATCTGAATTAGTATCTGCACTACCAGATAAATAAGTAAATTTATGCATTTGGCCTTACCTTGCACTCCATAGTCTTGCCCATTCGTTCTAAGACGAGCATAAACCACAGCATGTGTGGATGCTTTACCCAGTCCACCAGGCCACCACTATCAATAACAAAACCCCTTATAGAATGTTAAGTCAAGAAATGCAAGGAGATCAACATAAGGTTACAACATGTCACGAAGTATAAAAAGTTCTACACGTTGAGAAGAGTCCGAACCAAACAAAAATGCAGATAATGACAATTGAAGCACCTCTCATGATATATTGCTTAGCATGATGTATCATTGATCAATGTCAAAGATTGAATGAGTCAAAGGATTTTTAACCATTTTACTCACTTTGCTCGAAGTCAATGTGGGGCTATGAATGACAAATTCATCAGTCTCAGGATCAAAAGTTGCAGTAGTCTCAAGCCCTTGGACATTGGAGCCATGACCAAGTTCAGTTTGTGCATAGCATCCAATTATTTGCATCTTATATGCCATTGGCAGCCATTTCCGTTTCTGCTCCTCAGTTCCTTGTCCTTCAATAGCAGGTATAAACATTCCCTACGAAGAAAATCTATATTAGCAGGATAAAACTAGATTCAAATGATGAAAACTTCAAACCCAAAAATCAACTCAAAGAGACCATCATGTTAAATAAAATTGGGCAAACTAGATTTGAATGATGAAGTTAACCAAGGTTTCTTGTGTTTTCCAAATTTATTGCTTAGCTTACAAGTGGCATATGCAGTACTTCTGAACTGAAACTTAGAAATGGGAATCTGAAAATAAATCTTACCCGGTGAAGGTTTGCGTAAGCAGGCTGATCCACATAAGACCATAATGTCATTGACTCTTCTTCTGTCAGAAAATAGTATAATTTATTCAGATATCTATGGGAAAAATCAACGACACTATGTGGAGCCCAGCAGAAAACAAACCAGAAAGATTAAGCTCAACTGTCCGTTTCACTGCATGAGCAGTTTTTCTCAAAGTATCTTTAAACAAGTCCTTCCTACTTAGCATAGTTCTATTATCCTTCCGAAAGATCTATAGAAAATAGAAACAAGATTACTTAAATATGAAAGAATTATCTTTAAAAATGTCAAAATGAAAAGTGACTCTACTCGTTTAGGTTACCGAAGGAGTGAAAAATTAAGAATGTTGAATATCAATCAGTACAGAAACTAGAATAATGACAAGAACCACAGGCAGAGATCCAGTCAACCACGTAAAAAGAACTCCGTAAATCATATCTTTGCATCATTTCACTCTTCAATCATGTCAATTCCTTGGAACTACGATTGACCAGAACTCGGTAATCTAAAATTCTAAGCACAACTTGAGATACAGGTGAAAGTTACCCCTAGTACAAGGAAACTTTGAACGGTAGCTGAAAAAGATCAAGAACATCACATGCTGATGCACAGTTAGCAGACAGGGATTGAAAACTGAATTTATGACACCAAATGAAAATTGGATTCTTCCTACATTTTCGTGAGAAACATACAGTAAAACACTTTCTTATGGAGGATTACAGCGAAACAATGTATTTTTCAACCCAACTAACATCTAGACTTCATCTTTCCCCCATGTTCTCAGGAACCAAACAGAGAAAATTAAACTAGACAAAGCAAAAGAAAAATAAACGATTCACGCGACGGTAAAGGTGCAATAACATCAAAAATAACAAACTCAACCATCTCAAGTTATATTCAACCAAAAGTCTCAAGATTCTTAAAACATATACTTTCCACCGGCACAATGTACGTAACAAGAAATCACATGAGAAGAAAAGAAAAAGAACAACTAGATCACCGAATCACTAGCGACGAGACGAGCCATTCGATTGGACATGTCGTAGGCGTGACGAGAACCTGCCCAAATGATCTTCATCTCTTCTACATCGAACGACGCCTTGCTCCTCTCCTCGGCGAGATAATCCAGTGGCTCCATTTTTTTCTCGATTCCAACCGAAATTTCAAAAACAGCAAATTAACAAAAAGAAAAAGAAACAGAAACAGAAGGAAACAAAGCAGTGAATTTGTATTTTGACTTTCGGTTATGCAGAGGAAAATGAAGGGAAAAAAATAGCAAAAGAGTAAGGAACAGAAGCAGCTAGTTAAGCTTAATATAAACAATTATAAATATATAGTATATATTTGAAGGGCCTTTACTATATTTAATAATTAAATAAATAAAAGTTACAAAATAATCATTAATTTTCTGAATATTATAATAACTGTAAAAATATGATAAATTTGATGTCTATTTTATAGTAATTTGATAGAATTTAATGATAATTTTGTAAAAATTTAATAATATTTTGATAATTTTTAAAAAATTAATGATTAAAACAATTATTTAAGTATAGTTTAAGACATATATATTTTACTTCACCCTTAATATTTTAAAGCTTCGATTATTACAAAGAAGTTTCTTGAAATTTATTGACGGCGAAATGGTTGTATTTCTCAGAAATAACGACATTAAAAAAAATAAGGGGCTAACTATCTAAATGGTCATTTTTGTTTCAACTTTGTCATTTTTAATCATCAATTTTAAGAGTTACATTTCAGTCACTTATGTTAGTTTATTAAATTTTGGTCACTTACGTTATTGTTTGTTATATTTTGATTATTGAGTTGTTAACTCTTGTTTTTTTGATAATGTGGCATGTTAATTAACGAGATTAAATTTTAATTTGATCCTTAAATTTTAGATAGAATACTCATTGACTCTTAAGCTTTAGATAAAATATCATTTTAATCATAAACTTTAGATAAAATACAAATTAACCTTTGAATTCAATCAAAGTCTCCCACGTTGGTCGCCACTCACCACTGTCACCATTAGTTATCATTGGCTACAATTGTTGACGACCGTTGGACTCCAAAATTTTCACTCCACTCATTTTTAACCTCTTGAATGTTGATCTACTATCGATTTCATCAAAAAAAAATGACCAACTCAATAATTTTAGTCTAAAACCTTTCGAATTCCTTTAATATTAAATCACAATAACGAATATATCATTAATATTCCTTTAAAAATAAGAATACCAAAATTTTAAATTTATACCATAATCATTTATTCTATTTATAATATTATTATGTTATATATTTTTGTAATGTTTATAATATTAATTTTAAATTTATAAGGTTGTAACGACAGTGATGAAACTTCAATCTAATTTTAATTTTTGTAATGTCAGATTATTTTTTGTTTTTGCAATGGTATTCCTTTAAAATAAAGACATCAGGAATATATAGCATAGAATAATTAAATTTATATTTTTTGTAATGTGTTGTATTATTTTTCTTTTGTAATGTAATGTATTATATTTTAATTTATTTTGTTATGTTTATAGTGTTCATTATATTTTTATATTTATAAATATAATGTTATACATTATAATCCATAAATAATTAAATAATAATAATTTGACACCGTTTGCATTTATAACGACATTAAAAAATGGAGTAATTAGTTTCTATAATCTGATACCATTAGCATTTATAAGTTTGGTGCTTGATGTTAATACCGCCAATAATGTTTTGCGTAAACTACATATTTAGTATCTTAACTATTACTTTTATTTTATTTTAGTCACTAGACTATTATTTTTTAAAATCATACCTAATATTATGTTTTGTTTCATTTTTGTCACCTGCAATTAAAAGTTAATAAAACTACTGTTGTGACATTTTTTATTTTTTTCAATGACGTTTTGGCACTATCTTATCATGACACATCACTAGTTCTATTAAATTATTAACGGTGGGTGACCAAAACAAAATGAAAATATACTTTTAGGTATGATTTTGAAATAAAAAATAATTAGATGACTAAAATGGAAACAATGATAATTAAAATACTAAACGTATAATTTATCCTAAAGTTTTAAGCGACGGATCTGATGACGATCTCATTTACGAGGGCAGATAGAAATCAATTAAACAAGTCTGACAAACATTAAAAGAAACAGGTAAATGTCCTATATCTAAATGCTATTAAAAAGTGTCTATATCTGTGTACTATTTTGTTTATAAATTTTTGGATAAATTACATATTTAATATCTAAACTATTATTTTTTTATTTAATAATCAGTTTTTTTAAAAAAAAATTATATCTAACATTTAATTTAGGTTTAATTTGGTACTCTGCCGTTAAAAAATAAATAAAATTGCTAATGTTTCATTTTCTAAATGTTTTTAAATGATTATATGACATTACCTTATAATGACACGTCAATATCACCGTTAAATTTTTAACGATGGATACAAAAAAAAATCTTAACTAAATGTTAGGTATGATTTCGGAAAAAAATAGTTTTGTACCAAAATGAAATAAAAAATAGTTTATATACTAAAGGTGTAGTTTACCCTACACTCTTACGCATATATTCACGATATTTTTAAGATTTAATTTTTTATTTTAATAAAAGATTGTTTTAATAAATACTATAGATTTTATTCTATTTTAAAAATATTTTTATACATAATAATTTTTCTATTTTATCATATTTTTAAATTAATATCTATAATATTTAAATATTTTAATTAATAATATTTTCTAAATTTTATCAAATAAATAGTAAATACTTTAAAATTCTAAAAATACATATAAAATCAAGAATAAACTAATTATATAAATTGGGCATTTTCCTCTAATAGTATATAAAAATAATAAATTAATGACTTAAAGAATAAGAACCATACAATAAAAATTTAAAAATTAAACTAAACAATTCAAACAAATAACAAATAAAAACAAACATTATTGTAGGTAGTAAATAAAAACATAAAGATACAAATAACAAGTTTATATTAATTTATATTTAGTAATTATAATCGTTTATCAATATATAATCAAAAATCCAAATCAAAGACAGATCAATAAGATAATTAAATAAATATTATTTAAATCTAAGAAAAAATTGTCAAATGTAACTCTAGGGAAAAAAAGAATATAGTACAACATAGAGGAAAAAGACTTCGTATTAACATGAACTCGATATTTTGCTAAATAATGTTTAAACGTAAACATTTTTTTATTAATATGATGTAAGTATAAAATAATATATGTTTAAAGATAACTCTCAACCTTTTAACATTTAACGTTCGTACCCCTAACATTCTTAGTGCTCGAACCCAAGAGTTATCTCAAGGAATAACAACAATTATTTTACCCGCACGATCATTGGTGTTCATTCTTAAACCTCGTCATTTAGATAGATAAATATTTTAAATTGGATATTTGAGTTTAAATGTCTGTAAATAAATGTTTATAATTAATTAGTTGTTAAATAAATTAAGAAAATATGTGTTAAAAATTAAGCAATTAGCTTAATTTATAAAAAAATATTTAATGTATTATTTGAAATTAAATATTATACATAATTAAATTATTTAATAAATATACATTTTAAGAGATAATTAGTTATGAATGAAACAAAATAAAATTATTGAATATAATATACATAAAGTGATAAATAGGTGCTAATGAGTGTTGGTACAAGTGATTGGAATTCAGGAATTTGAGATTTCAAGGCCAAGTTCGAATCCTACTACCGTCACTCTTGGTGGACAATCTGTAAATTCCTATGTAAATCCAAATCGAGTCTTAAGTATGCCCTAGTCTTGGACTAGAGAAGTCATCCCTAACTTAAATTTATGTAAAAAAAAGGATAAATAGGTTCATAAAATGTCATTTTCTATATTTTTTATATAAAAATAATAAGATAATTTTCATTTTTTAAACAAATTTAAAATATTAATTTACAGTTGATTTCATTTTTTTCAAAGATTATCAAACATGGACTAAATTAGAAGTTTCCCAACAAACAAAAAAATCTACTTCTTTATGTAATAGTTATCATCATGAAAACTTCGATGGATGTTATGAAAACTTTTTTTAAAAAAATCTGCATTTTATGTTTGGGTAAAGTATATATATGGTCACTAAACTATGTTGAAATGATTTTTTGTCACAAAAATTATAAAAGTTATAAATTAATTATTAAACCGAACTGTTAAAGATAAACATTGCACATTATAAATTAATGATAAATTTAGATAAGTTTAAGGAAAATTTTATAACATTTTGATAAGTTTAGTAAATCATTTTATAAAAATTTGGAAAGTTGGATGACTATTTTATAACTTCTAAATTTTAGTGACTAAAAGGATAATTTTAATTTACGTACTTCACCCTTTTGTTTTATATGTTCCTTTATTTGTACTTAGACTTTTATCAGATGCGTCGTTATATCTCAGCCGGTAGAGCGCATTGCATTTAATTATGTGGTCGTGGGTTCAATCCGCCACAGACGGCGTGAATTTTCTCTAATTTTTTATTCTTTTTGTTGTTGTAGAGCAGTTCTTCCAATGTTTAAAACATGAGCATTGAAGTATTAGCTTTGATTCATGGAGCCTGAACAGCAAGGCCGGTTTTTTGGATGAGTAAGTGTCGAAGACGGCAACCATTGCCCTGGAGAGGGCCAAGTGAAAGACCCGTTATTACCATTGCTACAACATGCCATGCTGCTGGATCTGCCTCACAGCTATGTCCGAGGAGAAGCGTTGCCATCGTCGAATTTTGCATAACGAGACTTTCCTGCAAACTTCTTCTCTTTGCCTGCACATAAAATTCGACGATGAATAAAAGAAACGAGACAACCGCTCTGACCGGTGCCTAAAAGAAAGATGAATAAAATGAGTGGAAATCGGGGACGGCTAGCAGCCACTAACCGGTGTTTTTCTTGGTTTGTGGGGTTGAAGTCCTACAAGATATAGTAGAGCTAGGAAACGTTTTAGCTTCTTTTTCATTATGTTTTTTTAACGTAGAAAAAGGTATATCAAAACAACAAAAGAGCTTATATGAGTGAGACCTCGCACCTACTATATTTATAACTAAGGGTGTAAATGAATAACTTATTTAAAAGCTCGTTTATCGACTTGTTTGTCTGATTTTCTTTTTCTTTTTTTTTCTATATTTTAAATATTTGTGATGGTAAAACCTAAATTTAACACAAGATAAAAATTTAGATTTAAACTGTGAGTCTAA